GGCGCCTGTGGTCCCAGCTACTTGGGAGGCTGAGGCAGGAGACTCGCTTGAGCCCAGGAGTTGGAGGTTGCTGTGAGCTGCTGTGATGCCATAGCACTCTACCCAGGGAGATAGCTTGAGGCTCTGTCTCAAAAAAATCTGTGAAGAGATGTTCTTTCTTTACACTCTCTGTGGTTATATATTTAGGAGATTCTGATAGGAATATTTCCCTAGGCTTGGCACCCGTAGCACAGTGGTTATGGCGCCAGCCACATACACCAAGGCTGGTGGGTTTCAACCCGGCCCAGGCCAGCTAAACAACAATGACAACTGCAACCAAAAAATAGTCGGGCATTGTGGCCAGGTACTCAGGAGGGGGAGGCCAGAGAATCACTTAAACCCAAGAGTTTGAGGTTGCTGTCAGCTGTGATGCCACAGCACTATACCAAGGGCAACATAGTAAAACTCCGTCCCAAAAAAATAAGGAATATTTCCCTAATAAAAATGTTTATATTAATGCTTGAGCACTGATGTGATCATTGTGGGCACACAGCATGTGTTTTATTAAAACAATCTAATTAGAAATCTATTAAGGAACTACATTATAAGGAAATGAAATTAAAGCATAATTAAGAGGAAATTATTATACTCAGATAGAGGAAAAAACAGAGGCACAAAATACGCTGTGAGGAAGATTATTAGAAAGGGTCTGCAAAAACAATGTCCCCAGCTAATGGCTTAGAGAAAAAATATAGCTTGTTCTTCAACACAAATACCCCAAATTGGAAAAAAGAGGAGCTAGCATCTCCCAAAGACAGACCTCCAGAGATCGCCAGCTGAGAACGCCAAACACCTTTCAAGGTTGTCTCATCATTTCCCTTTGATGTGGTTGCTTTCCGGGAAAGCCTGACATTTTCCTTCTGTGTCCCTGATATTATTAAAGCTCCATCCCAGGCTGACAAATGCTATCAGAATTTCAAACCTGCCCAGTATCTCCTCTCTAATGCAGCAGCTCACCCAGCACCTTTAAACGTGTGAGAAGCTCTTCCTCTCCTCAGCCTGCTTAGAGCTTTTACCTGTCAAGGGAAATTGCCTGACACATCCACTCTTCAGAAAGGCATCTCCCACCACCCCTCGTCCTAGGGCCGCAACGGTTTGGCAGGTGCCTGTTAACACAGAGCACTCCAGGCACACTGACCACGCTGAATCCAACAAAATTGAAATAAATACGGCTTTTTATCTTTAAAATAGTCCCTTGAAATAGGAGACAGCATAATGAAAAGGCTGCACATCACACAGAAATTGAACTTGAGTCATGGTGCTAAATGATATTTTTGCCGGTCTTAAATGCTCAGCTCGACACTCATGAAAGACAAGGTTGCAAATTATCGCCCAGCTCCCAGGGAGGCAGTGGGCAGTGGGCAGTGGGTGATTCCAGCTGCTAGTTGTTTATTTCTCTCAGCATAGAAAAACAGGTTCATAATTTGTATAGTAGAGGCCATGCGTAGACAACACTGGGATATATATGTGTGTGTATGTGTGTGTGTATGTGTGTGTATATATATATATATATTTTTTTTTTTTTTCAGTGTTTGGCCAGGGCTAGGTTTCAACCCGCCACCTCCAGCATATGGGGCCAGCACCCTACTACTTTGAGCCACTGGCACTGCCCTGGGATATATGTTTAAATTAATTCATGTCTTTATGTAAGAATGTATCTGAAATTCCTTGTTGATGTCAATGGAGGAGTTTCTTTTTCTTTCAGTTATACAGTTGTAACAACTGTTTTATTTTTGTAATTCTTTTTTTTTTTTTTTTTGAGACAGAGCCTCAAGCTGTCCCCCTGAGTAGAGTGCCATGGCATCACAGCTCACAGCAACCTCCAACTCCTGGGCTCAAGGGAGTCTCCTGCCTCTGCCTCCCAAGTAGCTGGGACCACAGGTGCCCACCACAACGTCCAGCTATTTTTTGGTTGCAGCCATCATTGTTGTTTTGGTGGGCCTGGGCTGGATTCAAACCCACCACCTTAGGTGTATGTGGCTGGTGCCTTAGCCACTTGAGCCACAGGCACTGAGCCTGTAATTCTTTATTAAATCATAACTGTGTACATTAATGCATTTATGGGGTACAATGTACTGATTTGATATATAATGCTTACATCTAACTGATTAACATAACTGTCTCCTTGCTTACTTATTTGTTGTGTCAAAAATATTCTTACTCTATTCTTAATAGTATAGAAATGTATCATTGCATTATGCACATTAGGTTGGATCCCCCCCAAAACCCTCCCTCCTTCTGGCCTCCCCCATCCCCTCCCCTCTCCTCTTCCCTCCTTCTTTCTGGACTATAGGGGTTTTTTTTTGTTTTTTTGTTTTTTGTTTTTTGTTTTTTTTTGCAGTTTTTGGCCAGGGCTGGGTTTGAGCCCGCCACCTCTGGCATATGGGGCTGGAACCTTACTCCTTTGAGCTACAGGTGCCGCCCATTTTTTTTTCTAGAACTTTATTTATTCACTCAAGTGCAATCAAGAGCTCAGATTAATTAAACTACATCCTAACTTACAAAGAGATTAGTTAACAACAAAAGCATAACTGATCTTAAAATCCCCAGAAGACTGGGGCTTCACATCTTCAGAATTCTGGAGTGTCCTTAGAGCAGGGAGGCAGTGGCTGGGCCAGGCATGTCCGCACAGGTGCGAGGCTTGAACACTGCAGGGTTCAGAGTCCCCAAGTTTTCAGCAAGTCTCCACTCCACAAGCAAGAGTCTTATCCCCTTTGGAAGTTCATTCCTCAAAGGGCATTGAGCTCATATTCCTCCCATGGGCCTCCACATTCCACTTCCAAGGCAAGTCCTTACTCTATCCTGGCCCAGGAGCCAGCACAGGCTGCTGCATTTCAGAAGGGGCTGCAGAGGGGTGGTGTGCTCTGGTCCTCCGTCTTGCAGGATCCATTATCTACAGGAATTTGGGGCAGACGTGATGGCAGTCACACCTGCTCCCCTGCAGAGGAGCCAGTGAAGAAACGGAGCACACAGCCCTCTGCCAGGCCCAAGTGCAGACTGACCTTAGTATGCTGGGTGCTTTCTTCTTGTCTCTTTTTTTTTTTTTTTCCAGTTTCCGGGGCTGGGTTTGAACCCACTACCTTCGGCATATGGGGCTGACACCCTACTCCTTTGAGCCACGGGCACCACCCTGCTTCCTCTTCTTGTGCTTTTTAGCTTTCCTTTTACTGGCACACTTGAGACAGAACCACTGCACCTCCTCTGGCGGTGCAGCCGTTATTCCAACACAGGGCCAGTGGTACCAGTCACTGCAGTTGTCACAGCCGATCATCGGGCTCCCGTCGTCAGGCTTGTTACACCCAGGGCAGATCCAGATCTGCTCGACCCACTCACCTTGGATCATATATCTACCGATCGTCTCAGTCACGACGCTGCGCACGGGAGTCTTGGCATTGCTGGCCACCATGGGGCTCCTAGGGGGTAGAAGTGCTGGGCAGGCAGTGGGCACAAGGGGTGGCAGTGGGGACGCGGGGCCCACATGCATGGGGCCAGAGGCTGGGGCCACGGTGGCCAGGGACAGTGTCTTGGGCCAGTTCAGGGAGGTGGCCCGCTTAGCCTCCAGGGTGGGAACCACTTCGCTGATGACAATCTTGTCTTGGCCAGCACTGAGTTGGAAGGTGACTCTGGGGATAATTGGAGTCGGGGCTGGCATGACTGGCTCCACTTTTATTTCTTCATGCTTGTGTTTCTCCTTTTCTTGTCTTGTCTTGTCTCTTTCTCTCTTTTCTTTCTCCCTCTTCTTCTCTTCCTTCTCCTTCCTCTCCTTTTTGTCCTTTTTCTTTTCTTTCTCCTTAGGTTTCTCTTTTTCCTCAAAGCGTTTTCCCGGAAGCACAGGTGCCAACGAGGGCAGCAGGGCGGGGACCCTGGCTGTGGCAGCCGGGCTGAACAGAGCCATCTCCCGGGGCAGAGCCAGAGGGGCTGGGGATGCTTTCACCTTAACTTGTCCTCCTCTATCTTTTACTTTCTCCTTTCCTCTTTCCCCTTTATCTTTCTTACCTTTTTCTCTATCTTTTTTCTTATCTTTATGCTTCTCTTTCTCCTTCCCCACAATTGCATCTTTCACTCTCGCTTTTGCATCAACATCTTCAGATTCTCTAATTTTAACGTTTGAGGGCACTGAGTCCTCATCTTTCAGAAACTCTTTCCATGCATACTTTGTTTCCCTGCTGGCTTCCTTTTCTTTCTCTTTCACTTCATTTTCCTTGTCTGTGTCTTCTCCTCTTGCCCTGTCTCTCTGCTTTTCTTTGTTTTCTGTTTTAGTCTTCAGCAACTCTTTCAATTTCTTCTTCACCTCCGCTAAGGAAGGCAGCTGGGCTTTCTTTTCATGCGCCTTATGGACAGGTTCAGGAGTGGGAGGGGACATGGAAGGAGAAGAGATAGAAGGAAAGTTGGGAGGCGTATTCGAAGGCATCCCCAGTTTTGCTTTCTGCACAACCTCGTCAGTCGAGGGGTCCATTGTCCAGGAGTTATTGGACCTGGAAGTTCCACCCGAAAGAGGCAGGGGAGTGGATCCTAAGTTCATGAAATTATTCAAGGAAGTGGAGGCTTTTGGAGTGGTGTACTCCAAACCTGAAATTTTTTGGAAGCTGGTAAAAATGTTTCCTTCGGATTCTGATTCAGAGGAGAGTTCAAAAGTCTCTGGCTGTCCTTCAGCACAAGCATGTGTAATCACAGTATGGATAGAGTCATCCATTGTGTTATCTGTCACCACAGCTTCTTTCAGCTGATTGTCACTGTCCAGCTTCCTTTTTGTCTGCTTTACATGGACTGCCTCTTTACTGATGTTGTCACTTATTGCAGCTGAAGGAGTCCCGGTTGGTGTCTCTGGTCTGACGTGTACCTGAGCAACATGAGTTATAACCTTGGGGCTCTTAGAACCTGAAGGAGTCCGGGTTGGTGTCTCTGGTCTGACGTGTACCTGAGCAACATGAGTTATAACCTTGGGGCTCTTAGAACCTGAAGGAGTCCAGGTTGGTGTCTCTGGTCTGACGTGTACCTGAGCAACATGAGTTATAACCTTGAGGCTCTTAGAACGTCCCAGTAATTTCTTCTGTTTGGACATCATTTTTGGTGGCCGAATAGGACTTCCGACCATTGCTGGTGACTCAGTCTTCTGTCCTGGAGGAGCAGTTTTAGTCTTTCTTTTAGGTATAAAGAACTTGGTTTCTAATGGCTTTGGAGTTGGCAACTGTGATTTTACAATTGCAGTCAACATGGGCAGCACTGGGGACACAGGGGAGAGGTCTGTGCCGTCCTGCACATGCTCTGGACAGAGCCTGGGTGGGACCTTTTGCATATTTATTGAGCTGAGGGGTTCTCGGGCTTCCAATAACACGACACGTAGGCTGTCCCTTTTCGTGCTCAGCAGTCGGGGTCGCTTCCTGGCAAGCATTTCTTCAGCTTCAGGGCTGTCCAGCAGTCTCTTACCCAAGAAATTATCATCATTCAGAATTTCCTCCTCCTCTAATTCATCATCCTCTTCCCAGGGAACCTTCCTGGCTCCTGTTGAGGTGCCCCCATCTGTGGGCACCTGCTCATCTTCTTCCTCTTCCCCAGAAGACGAGACGGGTGGCATGTAATCTGGGATGTACCCTTTTCTTTCTTTTGCACCTGTGCTTCCAGGTCGAGGAAACTGAAGTACATTGTTCTTGCTAACAGGAAATGAAGGGATTCGATGTGGGAAAGCGACAGGTTCAATATTGTCAACATAGTCTTCCAGTTCCTGCAGACTAACCCCCATAAGCTGGAAACCTTCACCAACGTCATCCAAAGTTGGGTGTGTTCGGCCATGGAGCTCAGAAGACCGATGGCAGCCGCGGCCCAGCTGCTGCAGATAGCGTTCCAGCACGTCCGTGAGGAGATCGCAGGCACTGAGCTGCACCGAGTCCCAGCCCAGCACCTGGCAGATCTGTGCCACGGAGACCCTCAACAATGACCTGGCGTAATTGTCGCACATCCTGCTGCTCAGACGCCGCGACTCTGCCCAGTCCCACCACCACTTGATTTTAGCAACACCTCCCCCACAACACACACACCCTGATTCAACCTCTAGGGGCCCCGCGATGGGGAAATTGTCAGCCAACCAGCTCAGGACTCTGCCCTGTCCCACCACCACCTGATTTTAGCAACACCCCCCCCACACACACACACACACACCCTGATTCAACCTCTAGGGGCCCCGCAATGGGGAAACTGTCCCCGGGATCCCGGCCAACCAGCTCAGGACTCTGTCCAGTCCCACCACCACCTGATTTTAGTAGCACCTCACACACACACTCTAGGGCCCCCGCGATGGGGAAACTGTCCCCGGGATCCCGGCCAACCAGCTCAGAACTCTGTCCAGTCCCACCACCACCTAATTTTAGCAGCACCCCCTACACACACCCTAATTCAACCTCTAGAGCCCCCACGATGGGGAAATTGTCCCTGGTATCCCAGCCAACCAGCTTACCTCAAAGCCTGCTCCTGGTCCTGAGGTGTGGAGCCACAGCCCGAAGCAGCCTCTCTGCTGAGCGTCCAGGGCGGAATGAAGCCTCGGCCCTCCGCCTGCTCGCCTTATATAGATCTGCCAGCTCTGGCCCCGCCCACCAGCTCCGCCCCACCCTACCCACCCTGCTTAGCTCCACCTACACCGCTCCACCCCGCCCACCTTGGTCAGGGCTGTGAGCCACGCCCTCACGTTTGACCTGAACTGCCCCAGACTGTGAGTTAGCTGGACACAAGTCAACCAGAGGACCCAAAGTGGGTGCTGTGTCTTGGGATCCTGCTGGGAAAGCCACGTTCCATCCCCTGTTACACACCTTTGAAGAAATGCTTCGAGATCTTAACCCCACCTGTTGAAAGTTTCTGTCCACAGCTCTGCTCGGGTCTTCAGCTGATCCCATCCCAGTTGAATAGAAAGTCTGCTCGACTTTTTCAGTCAGAATTGTGCAGGCTGACCCCATTGTACGTCTGGGTGTCGATTGTTTTGTATGCTGTGTCAATGGAATTTCTGTTAGGTTTTTTTCTGCAATTGCAAGTTACCATGGAGAATGGAATTCAGGAGTCTAAAGGAATTCTTTTTTTTTTTTTTGAGACAGTCTCCCTGTGTTGCCTTAGGTACAAGTGCTGTGGCATCAGCCTAGGAGAGACCTCAAACTCCTGGGCTCCAGCAACCCTCCTCCCTCAGTCTCCCGAGTTGCTAGAACTGCAAGCGCCCACCACAACACTCAGCTAATTTTTCTGTTTTTCTGTTTTCTCTAAAGATAGGTTCTTACTCTTACTCAGGACCGTCTCAAACTCCTGAGCTCAGGCAATCGACCCACCTCAGCCTCCCAGAGTGCTAGGATTACAGGTGTGAGCCACCACTCCCAGCCCCCAAAGAAACTCTTTTATAGGTGTGACTACAAAGAATAAGATTTATATGACATAGTGTGCATAAATGCTTCCTCATTCTCCAAGTCACCATTTGACATGCCCTCCATATATAACATCAATGCTATCATTGCTTCTAAATATTTGGGAAAGTACTCCCAACAGCTAGTGCCTATCCTTATAAACAGCCCCAAGGGGGATCAGATCTCCATAATATGAGGGGTATGTGTGTGTAATTTTTTTTTGAACACCTAAAGCTGTTAAAGATCAATTTGGGGGCCCGTACCCTAAATTTGATGTGCATGTATGCATGGTTACCCATTTGTGAATGCATGTGCTTGTATGTACATGGATGTGAATGTGCATGGGTGAACATGGGTGTATGTGTGTACATGTATGAGACCTTTAGATCAGCACAGGAAGACACATGTGTCGGGGAGTCAACACTCAAATGACATAGGATCCCTGGGTGTCGGGATTTCACATACATTTTGTAATACTTCCTTGGCTTATTATATGTACTTTCTAATTTTTTCTATAACTATTTTTTGCTTATATTAAGAAGCAAATGAAGAGGAAAAAAGCAAAAAGGAAAAGAAACAAAGAAGTCGTTGTCACATCTTCAGTGAATTCTGGCAAATGCAGTGCCGTGTTAATTTCCTCCTGCTACTGGACAAATGGCAGCAAACTGAGAATCACAAACATTAAAAATGTATTATCTTGCAGTCCTGGTGGTTAGAAATCCAAAATGGGTCTCACTGAGCTAAATCTCCAAGGTGTCGGCAGAGCCAGCCTCTTTTGAAATCTCCAGAGGAGAATCAGTTCCGTGCCTTTTCTTTTTTTGTTAAATCATAGCTATGTACATCAATGCAATCATGGGGTACGTTGTGCTGGTTTTATATACAATCTGAAATATTTTCATCAAACTTGTTAACATAGCCTTCACTGCATTTTCTTAGTTACTGTGTTAAGACATTTATATTCTACACTTAGTAAATTGAACATGTACCCTTGTAAGATGTACTGTAGGTGTGGTCCCACCACTTACCCTCCCTCCCCCCATGGTCCCTCCTCCCCTCTCCCCTTTTCTCTTCTTCTTGGGCTATAATGGGTTATAGCTAGCTATAAATTGGTTTCATAGTAGGGCTGAGTACATTGGATACTTTTTCTTCCATTCTTGAGATACTTTGCTAAGAAGAATATGTTCCAGCTCCATCCATGTAAACTTGAAAGAGGTAAAGTTCCATGCCTTCTGTGGCTTCTAGAGGTATCTTGCATTCCTTGGCTCAGGGTCAAAAAATTCTCTCTTTAAAGCCAGAAACATCATTCAAATTCCTCCCCAGGCTGCCAGCTCTCTGCTTCTCTCTTTTGTTCCTGCTTCTTCCATTAAGGACACTGGTGGTTACATTGGGCCCACCAAGCAATAGAGAACCATTTCCCCATTTTAAGATTGGCTGATTAGCAGCATGTTCCTCTGGGCCGGATAACCTAACCTATTCACAGGTTCTAGGAATTAGGTGTGGATTCCTTTGGAAGACCATAATTCTACCTACCACGGAAAAGAATCTGGCGAAAGTTGTGGTCCCATCACAACTTTGCAATACGTATTAATGACCCAACAGTACCATCTTCCTCACTCAATCCCCTTGGGTTCCACATTTCCCCACTGAGTTTGCTAACATTTTCTCCAAGTCTGTGGCTTGCCTTTTCATGATATTTGTGACCTGCTCACATGGTAGAATTTTTACATGTAGATGAAGTTCACTTTATTATTTTTATGTTTTTTTAGATGGTACTTTTTGTATCATATCCAAGGCATCTTTGCCTAATCCATGTCACAAATATCTTCTATTACAAATTTTACCTGGGGGCGGTGCCTGTGGCTAAAAGGAGTAGGGCACCAGCCCCATATGCTGGAGGTGGCAGGTTCAAACCCCGCCCCAGGCAAAAAGAAACTTTTTTACCTGTTACATTTAGATCTATGACCCATTTTGACTCAAGGTTTGTATACGGTGTAAAGTTTAACTCAAAGTTCATTTTTCCTTCTTTTTATTTCTTCTTTTTTTGCAAATAAGTGTTCAATTGCTTCAGCATCACTTGTTAAAAACACTGTCCTTTGTCCACTTGTCTCTATAACTTTGTCTAAAACCCAGTCGGTTATATTTTTCTGAGTCCAGTCTTGAACTTCCTATTCATTTCCCTTGGTCTGTGTGTCTGTTTTCTGCCTAACCTAACACTATCTTGATATTTGAAATATACTGTTTAGAGTTCATAGTCCTCTGTTGGAGAATTGATCCAATAGGAGCTGCTTCTCCTTAAAATTCATCTCTCACCTTTTATAGGAATCTCAGGAAAGATATAAACTTGTAAACATAGACGTTCGACAACTTTAAAGACATGCTCTAACACAAGTGAAGTTTACAAGGACAGTAACACCTTTAGCAGTGGGTAGCTCTCCGATACACCCAGACACACCCATACGAAAACAATGATACAAACGCCTGATGTTTCCTGCATACACAGAGTCGTGGCATATGCAACAGTTACCAATTCAGGCTGCCTTAACAACTTTTTATGGGAAACTAAATCCTCATGAATGACACCTCATAGACATTACTTTCCAAAATACTCTTTGTTAACTTATAAAATGAAACAATGTGACGTGCCCCCAGGGATAACATAAAAGTCACAATCCTGGAAAAATCCAGTGCATGGGAAAATTGTAGGAAAAAACTGTTTTGCATATGAAGTTGTATAATTCTAGCTTCAGATGCTCACAAACATATCAAAACAACGCCTGAATTATCTCGATGCCTTTTCAGTGTGTTTACAGGCTACCTCAGTCTCCGTAGATACAGTACAATCCTCTAATCCAGGCATCCTCAAACTATGGCCTGCAGGCCACATGCAGCCCGCCTAGGACATTTATCCGGCCTGCCAGGTGTTTTTGCCACTGCTGCCTGTCCTGCTTAGCAGCCGACTCGACCCGGGGCCCACAGTCTGGCCCTCCAGCGGTCTGAGGGACAGTGAACTGGCCCCGTGTTTAAAAAGTTTGAGGACCCCTGAGACAGTCAGAAAATGCTGTGACTATCTAAATGTTTCTGGAGAGGCAGGTCACCACCAAGTTCATTACCTTATAATGCAATAAAAATTTGTGTTTTAGTATAAAAACATTTTTTGGTTCTAACAAATGCTTTAACAACCTGAGTCATGTAGAAAGGTTAAATAACAGGAGGGAAGTGATTGTTATTTCCAAAACATTAACCACGGTGGGCTCTGATAAACATGCTCGGTTGGTCACAATCAATTAGAAAGCCATCCGACATGAATGAGTCTCTGACATTGAGAAATACCACAACGTCCATCTGTGAAACAGATAGCAGAGACTGGGCTCCGTGGGCAGGCTACTTTCTCCTTCAGATACCACACACAAGGCCAGATGCTTGCAAAAGAAGGGGCTTGTTCAGTGGGAGTAAAAATATATTCCTTTCTCCCCATGCAGCAGGAATTTTGCAATATAGAAGTACAAAAATTGGCTTGGCGCCCATAGCACAGTGGTTACAGCGTCAGCCGTATACACTGAGGCTGCCGGGTTCAAACCCA